AGAGCATAGCAGGCTGCTGAGCAACGACACAGCTATATGCAGGGTCCAAGCATGCCAATGGCTACAGCCCATTCCCAAGACTTCTCCTTAAATACAGGAAGCAGATCACATCCCAAAGGCAGCTACTCAGATACTTGTGGTAGATCACACCATGGAGTTGATTGCCAGTCTAATCATGGGGAATAACTACCACCAGCTTCCCAAGCACTCAACCAGGCCCAGCCAAATTGACACACAAACATAACTACCACACTGAGTATTTGAACCAGTGGGCTCGAGACCACAGTCACTGGGCACATCAAGCTCAACTGGCGTAACACATTATACAAAACATTGTGCTACCTCCTACTTTGGTGAGTAGCAACTGGGATCTTAAAAGCTTGCAAGCAGCCATCTGGAGGAAATGATGAGTCTCTCCACATCCAGAGCAAAGCAGAATGAAGAAAACCAAATATTCATGGAAACAATTAGTCCTAGTGACTGGTACACCATGAGATCCTCAGCCTATATGACTATGAGACCAGAACTAGATGGTGTCCAGCTACAACTGTCAACTACTCAGAAGAGGATCTATGTAGGAGATCCTGGATAGAGAGTGAGAACAATGTGGAACAAAACTCAAAATCATTTGGAAAAAAAAAAAAAAGGGGGGGAGAGACCAGGTTTGCTGGTCTGATAGAGCCTGGTGGAACCTCTGAAACATGGCCCCTAGCTGCCCTTCAGATCTAGAATTGAACCCACACCTGTGGCCTCCAGCCAAACAAAAGACAGGCAGATGAGTTGAATATTTAACTGAGGTAGATACACTCCTTGGAGAGATCAATCATGGGAGAAAGAAGGGCTGGGTATGCACAGGGAGACAGCTCATGGGGCAAGAGTGCATGGAGGGATGGACACAGGGAAGAGTTAACTATCGGGAGGAAGTGGGAGGAAAGCTGTTGCATTGGGGTAAATTGTAGTCAATGTCATGAGACAAAGTGTATGTGAACTATTGCATGGAAAGTGAATTTGCTGTGTAAACTTCACCCAAATCACAATAAAAATAAATATAAAATAAAATAAAAAATCTTTTCCTACTGTATAATGTTCTTATAACAAACATTAAGTTGGTAGAACATGTATGAATGTACCAGAAGTTCCCCTCAAAATCTTACGTATCTCTTTATCATTTTCTGGTTTTTAGAAAAATTCAAGTTAAATTAGTATTCAATATAATAAATAGTTTATGTACTATTTTGTTTTTGCACTGTTATTTACTTTTTTTTTTTTTTTTGGCAAATATACAGATGGTTCTAATGATGTGATATTAGCAGCTGAGTAGACTCTCCTGGCCTAGTCTGGGGACCTCACAATAACCTGTAACGCTGTCTTAATAAAGAATTACAAATTACAAACTACCAATAAGCAAATTAACTTTTGAACCTGACCCATCATTTGCTTAAAATCTGATTCAATTACATTTTCTAAGAAAATTTATGAAATATTCTTAAATTATTTTCATTCTGTTTGACATTTACAATGCTAAGGGACAGATGACTCTGCATATACAATCCTGGGTCTGTAACACAGAGACTCTCAGAATAAATACTATGAGTTAATACTAAAGAATACTAATTTTGTTGTACATTAATTATTTCCAATTTGCTTTATGAAATATAACCAAAAAACAAAAACACAAAAAACATGGGTTTCACTACAGAAGTAAATCACCCAACATTTCTTCTGAGGAGTGGCTGGTGGATTTGAACCATCAGTTTTCTGGTTAGCAGTCAAATGCCTTAGGCACTATGCCACCACAGCTCCTTTATGAAATATAAAGAACCTGATATTATCTTGTATTATAAAGACAACTTACTTCTAATGAGTGGAAATAAAACGACAGAATAGGAAGAAAAGAGCTGAGGGCAATGTAGTCATTTGAGATGAAAATGAACATTTCAAATAAGGACACTTTTCCTGCTAAGGTTAGCAGTTAAAATTTTGCCAAGGTCAGAAATGACAAAATCACCACCAGAAACTTGACCAGTGACCTCAATCTAGTAGTTCCAAACAGTATCTTAACATTGTAAAACTGTTACAGCAGATGGCAACCCCATCACCTTTTGGGAACTCATGCCTAGCTAACTGTCCGCAGCCTTGGAGAAAGGTGAGCACGAAGCCCTTCCAGAGTGTGTGCTAGAGCCCATGTGGATTAGGTGACAGTGCACAGTGTGAGTTCCCCAGTGCACACTGGGGCGAGAATCACTGCCAACATCCGTATTTCCACTTGACATTCTAAAATTGTGAAGGGCTTGCAGTCCAACTGCTCATTTGCATATGTTTCCTTATTGACACAGTAATTTGAGCTAAAGGGAATAAAGGCAAAGTATGATAGCATCCACTCTTTCCACTTCTTTTAACTCTGTTGGCTCTGTATTATTTATAGTGCTTGCCTCTACTCCAACTTTGAAAGCAAAAGTTTCAGATCTCCCTCATTTGCAGATCAATACAGATTTGAATTTCTTGAAATTCAGAACATTGCAGAGCAACTCCTAAGAAGCTACAGTGAAGAGAGCTTGGAGGGGGGCTTGGAGATTTGTCACCCAGCATTTGCAGTGAGATTTTGACCTAACACTAGGAAAATAAAACCAAATATATCCCAAACATTATGAGATAAATTCTGGTAGATTTCACCTTACTGACAAGAAAGGGTTCTTTGTTTGATACCAGTTTAAGTCAGTCAAAGTAGCCAGTTGATTAAAGAGCAAGTAATTTAGAGCTCAGGAGCTCTGGTAGCGTAGTGCCTAAGGCACTTGACTGGTAACCAGAAGGCTGGCGGTTCAAACCCATCAGCCACTCCTCGGAAGGAAGGTTGGGCAATCTACTATCCGTAGTGATACTGCCTTGGAAACCCAAGGAGGGGCTGCTATAAGTCGGGTCCGACTCAATGGCACATAACAACAACAGCAACAACAATTTAGAAAAATCATTGAAAACCATGGAGCATATTATTACTCTCACACACATGGAATCGCCATGAGTGAGAATCAACTTGATGACAACTGGTTTTACTGGTAATTTTAGTCCTTCAGAGGAGCTTTGGTTGGTTTTGGGGAAAGAGGATTCAAGAATGCATGTAGAATGGGCATCCTTGAAGGTGTGTAGCCTTCCTGATGGAAGTGATGGACCACTTTGCAAGTTTTGTGCTTCATAGTGGGCTGAGCAGACAGAATGGATGTCATAAGGGTAGTAAGGATGGGCAGAAAGAGTCGGAGTAAGTCCAGCGCTAGTCTGCAGAATGGGGCCAGCCAGGGCTGAGGGGAGCCTGGAGGAAGAAGGGTTTTCTCAATCTGCACCTCCTGGCTGGAGTCCATCCATTCATCCAGAATCCTGTGGTTTGGCTTCTTGAGACTAAGCTCGGGAGTTCAGACGGGTAACAGCAGTCATCTGGGACCTGCCTCTCATTACAACACTGAGGTTGAGAGAATGAAGCCTTATCTCTTTGTACTGGATTCATATTTTCTGAGAACCCACAAGATACATCATACTGAAAAGACTTTTCACTGTTCATGGGAAAGTCTACAGTCCCAGCCCTCAAGGCAATCTCTTCTAAGTTTGATTAAAGCTGACTCACAGACAGTCTGGATTCCAAAGCTGTTTACCCACAAGGCAGTGAAGAAACCACCTAGAGAAGTTCTGAAAACACGCTTGGGGTCACCATGGTGCCATGGCTGGCATGTTGAGCTCTGCCATCCACCTGGATGCTGGGGCCTTTGCCATCTTCCAGATGTTGTTTGCACCAAGCTCCTGGCCCAAGTGCCTCATTTCTAGTTTCCTATCTTTGCCTAATGAATCAGACCCTGGATTCACTTATCATGTGAATCCTGGCAACTTTTCCTCTCAGATGTTTCCTGAGGCTCTTCTTCAAGTGGGAACAGGTAGTCTCTTGGGCTCTGTTCATATAGAACTACCCCTCTGCCTGTTCTCCCACATAACAGAGGTCAAGATTTGGATTCATCCTCTGCTTATGCCTTTGGGTCAGTATCATGTTGGCATGGTCTGCAGAGCTGGGAAATTCAGTATCTGTCCAGAGTGGTACACCTGCTCTCCAGGGTCACCCTCCCACACAGAACACACACATGATCAGGTGCTTTCAGGACACCTGTCTAGCAGTGACCTTGTTCTGTGGTGGAGACTGGGCTGTTCCAACCTCAGCTTAGAGGATGTATATCTCTGTACTCTCCTTTGGACTGATGTCAGTTTTCACTTTCAATCTTACACTCTTAGCCCACTGTCAATCAAAGCCCAACACCCACCAGCACTGAACTCTCAAACTAGACGCAACACAGCACCCCCACCCCCACCCCCACCCCAGCTTCTCTGAGTTACAAGAACATTTAAGGGCAAAACACCCATTGTTCTGGAGGAACTGAGACTACTGAAGAAGTGATTCATTACCAACACTCCTTCACCTGATTCAGTGATAGATGCCCTGATGCCTGGGTCATAAGGTGATTAGGAAGGAAAATGACTCACGTGAAAGGAGCCTATGAACCATAATGCACTGTACAGATGGTACAGACGATATGACCATCAGCTGGACCAAAGACCCCATACTGGTCATCCCTTCCAGGGTTAGCGGAAGTGAATGGCATACCCTCCCAAGGTAAGTCGGGGTCCATGCTCCTCTCCTGGCTCCCACAACACCTTGCACTTGCCTCTTTCACTGCAAGCCATACTGTATTGTAATCATCTGCTTCACATAGAGACAGCATGGAATTAGCCTCTTCACACCAGAAGTGTGCCTGTGCTTGACACACAGAAGAAATTTTACAAAGGATGAATGAATGCATAAGTGAATGAACAAAGAAATGAATAAAGCAAGGTTGGTTTTGCACAGTGAGTGAGAAGTAGCCCGGAAAACTCAACATAAAGTAATAATCAGAATGACTTTACCATCAGCCTTTTGCCCAGGGTTAAGACATTCTAGCCTTCATTTGATGCCTCTCCCTGGGACTTACCTGTATGGCTCCATGGTGCGAATGCCATAGAATAGTGCCTCCTCGAATAGGCCAAGGTTGATGCAAGCATCCATGGCGCAGTCGAGTACCTTCAGCTGGTAGATGTTGATGTCGGGAAGCTGCTCGGAGCTGCTGCTTATGATCGCCTGGCACATTGCCAGAACCTGTTCCCACTCTATTATTAACCTTAGTTAAGAATTCATTGTCTTCATCAAGAAAAAAACAAAAATAAAATGAGATTCTCTAAAAGGCTGAAGAGCTCCCAGGCACAGGAGGGGAGGAAGTGCCCATTATTTGCACAGATGAGCTGCCTGAAAACACATTTGAGGAATAAAAACACGTAAGTGGTATCTCAGCTAAGGAAATTCTGTTTACATCAACAAAACATCTTCTAACCAAGCCTGCACACTGGGGGATTAAATTTTCCAAAGAATCTCTTCATACTCCTATATATATTCTCTTTAAACCTGTTGTTGTTGTTGTTGTTACGTGCCGCCGAGTCAAACCCGACTCATAGCGACCCCTCCTTGGGTTTCCGAGGCAGTATCACTACGGAAGTAGGATTGCCCAACCTTTCTTCCGAGGAGTGGCTGGTGGGTTTGAACCACCAGCCTTCTGGTTAGCAGTCAAGTGCTTTAGCCACTATGCTACCAGAAATGCAGCTACTTATTAAACTGGATTAAAGATTAATTAGTTCAATTTAAGATTATTAACTCTGCTAACTTGTTTCCAAATTGATATGAAATTAAGGAAGCTTTAGAGAGATTTCTTTTTAAGAAGGAACTCATGTTTGCATCTGTGTCATCTGAATCTTGGGCATGTATGAGACCACATACCCACACAACATACACACACATTCTGGGAAGCAATTTGTAGAAATTCATTTCCATTCATATTTAAAGTTTTTGGTAATAAAGCAAAGTGACCCAAGCCTTTACTTAACCAAATGAAGGTTAAAGTATTCTTATTTTAAGATATTGCACCCCCAAAAGAGAAAAGAACATGCCTTATGCACATAAATTGTGGGCAAAGAGGGAAAGGATGCTTTAAAAAGGATGGGAGGAAGACTCACTCTCCACTTCTTGGCTACACTGACTTTCTGATTAACACAAATCAATGGCTTCATCTCATGGACCCTCCCTGAGTCCTCACTTTTTTACAACTGATACCTTGTCTTCTTAGCAGCAGAGAATTAAAGACATGGTAAGTGTTGGCTGTTTGCACCCATCAGCTGCTCTGCAGGAGAAAGATGAGGTATTCTGCTTCTGTAAAGATTTATAGCCTTAGAAACCCCATGGGGCAGTTCAACTCTGTCCTACAGAGTGGCTATGAGTCAAAATCAACAACAAAACAAAGAGGTTTGATTTTTGAGGTTTGGTATGGAGAGTGCTGTGAAGCCCTCAGCTGTAAAAGGTCAATTATCTTCAAAGGCAAGAGTAGAGGCACACAGTGACTTCACACAGTTCTTTCCTGTGCTGCTGTGTTAAGTGATGTGGTAGTTAAAGTTGTGTGTCAACTTGGCTGGGCCATGACTTTGAGTAGTTTGGCAGCTGGATGTAATTATTCCCCATGATGAGACTGAATGTGGTATAATCAACTCCACGGTGAAATCTGCTGTGAGCAGCTAATGAGTTGCCTTTGGAGTGTGGTCTGCTTCCAGTATATAAGGAGACATTTTGGGAAAGGTCTCTGGCTTCCTGACACATTGGATCCTGCATTTGGCCAAGTCATCAGGGCCTGACATGTTGCCTGACAATCTTGGGACTGTTTCTGGACTTAACCTAGTTGCCTGCTGTGTTGCTTTCTACTCTTGGGACTGTGCCATTTTACTTATCAACCTTGGGTTTATCAACCTCAGCAGCCAGAAGCTGCCTGAGTTAAGAGATGCCTCCAGCTCCAGTGGGTTGGGAGCAAGAGGCAGAGTTGAAGCCCAGGGTCGAGGAGCTTTTACCCAGTCCCTATGTCTAGCCTCCTGTACTGTAAGAAAATAAATCACTATTTGTTAAAGTCATCCACTTATGGTATTTCTGTTATAGCAGCACTAGAGAACTGATATAGATGAGGTGGAGGCAAGGATCAGTCCTTCCCCTACCCTGCCCTACTTTCAACCAGTGTGGCTCCAAATCTATGTGCTTTCATATGCTGGAATTCCGATGGGGGAAAGAAGGAAGGTTTGAAGAGTTCAGATATAGTAGAAATAGCATAAGCTTTGAACATGGATAAAGGTTCTAAGTCACTTAAGTGTTTCGGAATAGGACAGAAATAGAAAGCTTGGTGTCATTGTAAGAATTAAGCAAGATATTGTATGTAAAATGGAAAAAAAAAAAAAATCATTTTGTGCTCCACTGTAAGCCAGGCAGGATTCTGAGCACCAGGGACACACTGAGGAAGCATTTAGTGCATGCACAAAGTACATGCTGCACAAATACTAGTGGCTTCCTCCTTCCATTATCAGGCTTAACCATGACTAGGCTTAAGGAATATGGTTCAGTGACTGTGTGTTATCAAACTTCCCCCATCTCATACTCCTCTCCACTCCCACACAGGATCCAGTCTCTTCACAATCCATTGCTCATCTGATGCTCCACCCTCCAGCCTTCTTCATCAGTGTCCTAACCCAGCATGTTCCATCTGGACAGACAGCCTACTGTATGCTATAATACTCCTTTATCCCTCCCTCTAGCAAAACCTACTTCTAGTATCCAGACTTTCAGGGTACTGCTCACATTTCATAAATGAATTTGGCCAGTTGTATGAGTATCAATATCTTTATAAACCCTCACAGAAAACATATTTTCCTTTTAGCAAGGGCCTCCTGGAGGTATAATACCTTAACCAGAGGCATTACTTCTTTGGTGAGAATTTCAAGCACAGTACACTGATAAGGGCCCTTTATGTCATATCTGCTACCCCAATCACCTATCTGACAGTTTGTTGTATCGTGGTGGGGCTTGCATGTTGCTATGATGCTGGAAGCTATGCCACCAGTATTTCAATGACCAGCAGGGTCACTCATGGTGAGCAGGTTTCAGCAGAGCTTCCAGACTAAGACAGACTAGGAAGAAAGGCCTAGAAATCTACTTCTGAAAATTAGCCAATGAAAATGTCATGTATCGCAACACAATACTGTCCAATCTACATGCTAGAAGTGTTGTATGAAAGGAGAGGTTAGCACTCCCCTTGACAAGGGATAGAAGAGGTCCTTGGGTCTTAGAACACACATACGGTTAAGGCATTGCTACTACTTTGTGGCATCTAACCATGGTTTTGGGAGCTCTGGTGGTGTAGTGACTGCTAACTAGAAGGCTGGTGGTTCAAACCCACCAGCCACTCCTCAGAAGGAAGGTTGGGCAATCTACTTCCATAGAGATACCGCCTCGGAAACCCAAGGAGGGGTCACTGTGAATCGGATCCTACTCCACGGCACTGCGTTGCATTTTGCGTTACATGCTAGAAGATGAGCTCCCTAAGTTGGAAGGTATTCAAAATATTCAGTGGCCACAACAATAAATTCAAGCACACCAACAATTGTGAAGATAGTACAGGTCCAGGCAACATTCTGTTCTATTGTACATAAGGTCATCATGAGTTGCAACCAATTTGATGGCAACTAACAACAACATTCATTACACCATACAATTTTGGGACAAGTCCTGTCTCTGAGGAGTTGACTCTAAATCTGGAAGACATATAAGGTAAATGGCATTAAATTGAAGGTAAATGAGTTGGTGATTTTATTTTGCATTCATCTGCCAAGTATGTGTAAAGCTAGCTCTTTCTTCAAGAGACTGAATGTATTCCCCAGAGGTAAGGGGAAGCCATATCTTAGGTAATGCACTGATTTTGTAACAGATTGCTGGGCTAACCTCTATGGCTTTTCATTCCAGGATTAGATATTTGACAAACTGTCAGGAGGAATGACTGTCTCTTACACAATGCTAGACATTTCTGTGGCAAGCCTTTGCACCTAATTTTAACATTGTGTTGTTTGACCTTCACTATTATTTACCTTTTCATTTATACATGCTCCAGCTCATTTTAAAGGGGCTTGAGGTGACAAGCCTTAGAAGTAAAAACCAGATGTGATGTTCTGCAGTTACTCATAGGAATACATCTACTTTATCCCCTAGCAACCTGGAAGGGACCGCATGCCAACTTCTCTCCCTAACACTGGCAACCATCTCCTGGCAAACGAAGTAAAACTTTTCCTGTAAAACACCCCAGTGAGCAAAAAAATTGAATAATTTTACTAAGAGGCTTTTTTTCCCAAGCTAATGCTGGCACCTGTTTGCTCAAAGATTTAGTTACTGGCATTTGCCCATTGTTTACAAGTCATTCTGTTCCAGTGTGGCAGGGATGGGCAGCCCATCCAGAGAATGGATATAGATACCATTTTTTTTTTTCTTCCCTCCTTGATTATTTTTTAATGATCATAAGAGGACTGGGGAAAAGAGGAAGAGGAGTAAAGTAAATTCACTTGTAAATTAAACAACTCCTAGAGGCACAGAGATGGCCAGACAACAGGACTTTTTCTCACCTAATCATATTACTCTACTGCTAAAAATTCTCCCATGGTCCCCTCTCACCTGTAATGTCTAATCTCCTTTCCGTAGCATTGAAAGCCTTGCCAATTCCCCTGCTCTCATACTTAACTGCTCAAATTTTTCAACCTCACGGTATTTCACATCTATGTCTGTGCTTCTGCAAAGATTATTCCCTTTGTTGGACTTCCCTTCTTCACTTGTTTAGCCTGGTGAACTCCTACTGATCCTCCAAGACACAAGTCGATTGTCACCTCCCCTGTGAAACCTTCCTTAACTTCCTGAAGTTAATGATTCTGCCTTTGATGTCCCTATAATATCTCTCTTTACCAAAAGATGTATTTATTCACTTATTTACTACTCCCACTCAGTGTGAAAGTTGTGAGTACAGGGCTGTGTCTTCTTAATCAGTAGATCCCAGTGCCTGGCAAGGTACCCGCCATAGAGTCAGTTTTCTGTAAAACCCTATCAAATTGAGACTGAACTATAGCTGTGTCATCCCTGGGTCCTGATTCTGCTGCATGAGACCACACAGAACAAGTTTACCACACATCACTGTAAAAAGTCTCTGAGCTTATGACACTGTAAAAAGTCTCTGAGTTTATGAACACAGCCTTCTGGCTCGCAGAGTCTGCAGTTTTCCATCCTGTCTAAAGACAGGGTTTCTAATTCTTCTTTCATCCCTGTTCCACTCCTCAAAACTTATGTCAATTTTTCTATACCCCTCTTAATATGTTCTGCCTCAAACTGAATAGAAAATTCCATATAGATCAATATCATCACCTCTTTCAACCTATAGTCTACATTTCTATTAATGCAACCCCATATCACAGTAGGGAGCTCTGGCAGCTAACCAGAAGGTGGGAAGTTCAAACCCATCAGCCACTCCTGGAAAGAAAGACTGGGCAATCTACTTCCGTAGTGATACTGCCTCAGAAACCCAAGGAGGGGTTACTATGATATCACAGTAGTCTTTGTGGGAAGGTTATGTCACACTTAAGCTTTATTACACTTTGCTCTTTACTAAAATTCTAAAATTATTTCATGTGTTCTGCTGCTAAGCTTTATGTATATTTATACATATATTGAACTTTTTGACCCAAACAGAAGATCTGACATACACCTTTTAAAATTTCATCTTTTTAGGCTGAGGCATCATTCAAACCTGCAGGGATTTTTTGAGCTTGTGATTCCATCCTCTGCCTTCTTTCTCATCTACACTTTTTTGGAAATTGGAGGAGCCTGTGTTCTATGTCTTCATTCAAGGTACTGAATCAAAGCTTGAAGAGGGCTGAGATGAAAACAGAGTCTTCCAGGATGACAGTGATCCAATTAGCATCAATTATTTCACTATAGCTATTCAGCTGTTTAGAAAGACACCTGGTTATGCTAGCATCTAGCATAAATTTCTTGAATACTTTTGTCAAATATCTTTCTGAAATGTAAAAACAAACTTTACCAAAAAAGGCACATAGTTTGGCATGAATCTATGGATCAACTTGCTCTTAGTCACTATACAGGATCCACACAGCATCTGGTGATCACAGCTGTCTCTTCCTCCTTTCAGTAACTAATTCTAGATTCTTTACTGGGACTGCTAACAATCTCACTGGAGTACATAGTTGAGAAACTGCTATTTCACTTATAAATATAGAAACATTTACTTAACTGTGGTCTCCTGTCCTTTACAATTCTTTAAAGACCATTGTATGTAGATTAAAAGCCTCATTTGCATTTTCTTAGCTGGGAAATCTACTTCTGTAGAGATAAGGCCTGGGAAGCCCAAGGAGGGGTCGCTATGAGTTGGGATCCAGTCAACGAGTTTGTTTTTTTTCTTTTAAGGGGGTAGGGGGGTGGATATAATTGACCCAAGTTATCTGAATAAACTTTTACCATCTTTTCCAATTACTTTGATCTTCTCTTTCTTACTTTTGATTTCCCTTTGCCCCACATTTTTGCTTACATGAACTCTTCCACTGGGGGTTACGTCCCTTCCAGCTTCTTCCTATCCAAACCCTGTCTCTGATTCAGGATACCTCTCACAAAATATAACATCAATGGAGCCTAACAAGATGGCCTCCATCATAAACAATCTCTCCTGACTCTAAACTTTGACCCATTCATGGCCATTATTATTTATCCCAATAAAATTTATTGTGCAGTGACCCTATTGCCATTGTAGTTAATTGATGATTTAATATGAAGATTCTAGATCTGAAGGTCAATGACATTAAATTATAGTATTCTAAGCTATTCTTTCCTAGAGATGTAGGTAGTTGTGGGAGAATCCACGAACGTGTTACAATTTACATATGAAGAGAATATTACTTATTGTCCTCAGAAACCAAAACCAAACTCACTGTGGTCGAGTTGGATCAGACTCATAGCAACCCCTTGCTGGGTTTCCAAGGCAGTATCACTACGAAAGTAGTGAATTTTGGGTTATTAACTAATGGTGGTGAGGTATTCATGCTGATCTTGTCACAATCTTCCCTAGCCATTACCCAAATTGTTGACTGGGGTCAGGGATAGAACCTGTGAGTAGGAAACAGAATAAAGGTCACTACCTCATTGGAAGGTCAAACTCTGGACTCGGCCTTATTAATGTCAGGTTCAAACCAATAGGGATCCAATCTCAACAGTCCAATTTAATCCACAGGTAAAAGGATACTCCAATGTGCCTTCAGTTCTTCAATTTTTTTCAGGGATTCTTGAACTTCCTTCCAAACTTGTTCATTGCCAGTTAGCATGTCAACATCCTGCTAGGGCCCAAATGAAAAGACAGGAAAAACAGACAAATAACTCAATTAAAACATGAGCAAAGGATCTAAATAGACATTTCTCCAAAGAAGACATACAAATGGCCAATAAACACAGGAAAAGATGCTCAACTTCATCAGACATCAAGGAAACGTAAATAAGCACAATGGTATATCACTCACACCCACTAGGTTGGTTAGAACAATAACAACAACAAAAAAAGACAGATACTAATAAATGTTGCAAGGATGTGGAGAAATTGTAATCTCTTATACCACTAAAGATAATGCCAAATGGTCTAACTGCTTTGGAAAACAGTCTGGCAATTCCTTAAAAGGTTAAACATAGAATTATACCAAGTGAAAGAAGTCAGTCACAGAGAGGTCCACATGGTATATTGATTCTATTTATTAAAATGTCTAGAATAGGCAAACCAATAGAAACAAAAGTAGACTAGTGGCTATCTAGGTTTAGGGATATGGAGGGAACTGGTGAGTGACAATGAGTGGGTAGAGAGTTCCTTTTTGGGGTGATGAAAATATTCTAAGGAGCTCTGGTAATGCTATGGTTAAAGCACTGGGCTGCTAATCAAAAGGCTGGCAGTTTGAACCCACCAGCTACTCCAAGGGAGAAAGATGAGGCAGTCTGCGTCCAGAAAGATTTACAGCCTTGGAAGCGCTATGGGGAAGTTCTACTCTGTCCTATAGGGTCACTATGAGTTGGAATCGATTGGATGGTAGTGGGTAGTGTGGGGAAATGTGATGCTGGTTGCACAATTTTGTGAATATATTTAAAAATCATTACATTGTACACTTTAACTGGGTAAACTGCATTACATATGAATTATATCTCAATATAGATGTTACAAAAGACAGAGGGATGAGAGAAAGTATTATTTATTAAGAGGCCTACAGATAATACTTAAACCAAATATGAGCTTATCAATCAAAATGAGGCTAGGAAAAAAGAATATGCATACAAGTACATGCGTGTGAACCAGTTCTCACTTCTGCAAAAACCATATATATACACAATCAGAACAAAATAAAATCATGAGCAACTGTTTCTTAGATGTATGTTCCCTGTTTAGTAAGTAGGTCCTCTATCTCACCTGTTTGCCATTCTATTACAATATCGTAATTAGTGCTTTTGAATGAATGACTGAAAACCATGTGCCCAGCATAGTGCTAAGTGCTTTACAAATATTTCATTTTAACTTCACAACAGTGCTTTTAGGTGTATGCCATCACAGCCAGTGGACTCACATGGGTGGGCAGTGGGAGTAGTCCACACTAGGTCAGACAATGAGAGGATGGTCTACAGAGAATAATAACACAATGGTCTGTAGAGAGTCTAAAAATAATAATGAAACCAATGGAAAGTAGAATTTATTTTTATTATCACTATGCAACTAAAATTTTAAACAATGTCAAAAAAAAAAAAAAAAAAAAATCTCACTGCTGTCAAGTCAGATCCAACTCATAGCGACCCCTCCTTGAGTTTCCAAGACGGTACCACTACGGAAGTAGATTGCCCAACCTTCCTTCCAAGGAGTGGCTGGTTCTTCTGCTCCAGGTCAAAAGGTTCTCACCACCTGCTCTCTGATACACCACTGATCAGACCCATTTCGCTGATGGCAAAACTGAGACTCAGAGATTAAGTGACTTGCCCAAATTTATTAGCTTGGAGCCAAGGTGAAATCAAGGTGCATTTGATCCCAAAAGGTTGGGTTCTTGTTGATATACTACTGTCTCTCATAAACATCTCTATGGCCTCATTAGCATGCTCCCTAAAGTCCTGGCTCTTTAAAGTGGTATTGTCCAACGCAATAGCCTGCTAGTCACATGTGGCTATTTACATAAAATTTAAATTTAAAAAATTCATCTCAAATGCATTGGATTTCAAGAGCTCAATAGCCAAATGTGGCTTTGACTACCATATAGGTCAGTGCAGAAACAGAACATTCTTGTCATCACTAAAAGTTTTATTGGACAGCACTGCTTTCAAGAGGTTAATCAAAGTTGAATAAAAAACCCTCAATAGGCACTATTCAAAACCAGGTTTTCAGTAACCATTTGATTCTCAATGGCTGTCAGGGAGAAAAGCTGTCCTAGGAAGATATATCAAATCATGGCCAGTGGGGGTGGGGGTGGGGGTGAGATGGTAATGATGAGGGAGGCCTACTTTTTCAAATGAAATACATATCCCTAGAGATTCTTCGGGAGCTCTGGTAGCATAGTGGCTAAGGCACTTGACTGCTAACCAGAAGGCTGGCGGTTCAAACCCACCAGCCACTCCTCGGAAGGAAGGTTGGGCAATCCTACTTCCGTAGTGATACTGCCTCGGAAACCCAAGGAGGGGTCGCTATGAGTCGGGGCCGACTCGACGGCACATAACAACAACAACAACAACAGAGATTCTTACGTACCTACCAGGGAGGTTTTTAGAATGAACACTGTGAGAATTGCTGCCAAAGTCAGCCTATGTTACCAGTTGTTGTTGTTGTTATGTGCGGGAAAATACATATCTCTTAGATGTTCCATGGCAGAAAAAACCTAAGTTGTTAGAGATATGCCACACCATCTTGAGTGGCTCTTCCAGGTTCTTCTTCATTCCCTGCTGCCCCACCCAAAGTCATAAGTCAGTTAAAGGAAGTCGAAACTGAGCTTCCTGCAAGGCGTGAATTTTAAAAGGCAACATAGCCTCTGATAGGTTAAGACCTTTTCCCCCAGCTCTGATGTACAACCTCCTAACCCCAGGTCTATATAAGACCACCATCTTCCTGCTCTTCCTCTTTTCCTCTTCTTCCTCCTCTTCTTCTTCTGTCCTTCCTCAGTGCAGGCGCCCTTTCGCCTCCTTAATAAAATCTCCTGTTTGGTACCCTGGTGTGTGGCGTGGTTGTTGAGTGCCGACAGAGCTCTAACATAAGTGCCACTGAAAATCACAGAAAAGAGATCCCAAGAGCAGGGTGAAACAGTGGGTGTGTGTAAGAGGAAATGAGTGTGTTTGTGTGTTTTTGTGTAATAGAGCTAAATGGTCTGTATGTACAGTGTGTATTTGTAACATTAAAAACCAAAAATCAAACAGTTGATGTCAAATGGATTCCCACTTACAGTGACCCTACGCGACAGAATACAACTGCCCCATAACATTTCTAATAATGTTATGTTTATGGAAGCAGGCTGCCAAATCTTTTTACCGCACAGCAGTTGGTGGGTTCAAACCACCAACCTTTTCTTTAACAGCCAAGGGCTTAACCACTGCACAACCAGGCCTCTTTATGTATAATATAATAGGGTGGTTTAAAAAAGACTCTATAAGCACATTCTATTTCTTCTAAGAAATTCTAACTAAGTACTTAGCTTTCTGGACGTAGAAGAGGGGGAAAAGTCAACTGCCTTTCACATAGTGAACAACAGTCTCCCTTCAAATAGCTGCTTAAGCCCATATTCATCTTCCTAAAGCCTTTGTTCTATCACCTCACTTTCCTGCTCTAAATGCTTCAGCAACTCCCTGCCACCTCCCAGATGAAGCTCAAATGTTAAATTTGGCCAAACATAAAACCAAAATCAAATGCATTGCTATCAACTCATAGTGACCTTATAGGACATAATAGAACTGTCCTATAGGGTTTCTAAAGGAGCTCTGGTGGTGCAGTGCCAAAGGCATTTGACTGCTAACTAGAAGGTTGGTGATTCAAACCCAACAGGCACTCTGTGGAAGGAAGATAGAGCAATCTATCTCCATAAAGATTTATTGCCTTGGAAACTCAATGGGAGTTGCTATCAGTCAGAATCACTCATTGGCAGTGGGTTTGGTTTATAAGGTTTCCAAAGCTGCAATCTTTATGGAAGCTGATTGCCACATCTTTTTCCTGTGGAAAAGCTGGTGGGTTGGAACTGCTGATCTTTCTGTTAGCAGCTGAGTGTTTAACCACTGCACCACCAGGGCTCCTTGACAAGCGTGGCCATTCATAGCTAGACTCTTGGCAAAATGTCTTGTTTCTTAATCCATATGGTAGGCAGAATAATAGACTCCCAATGATGTCTACAAGGAGCTCTAGTAGCACAGCACCTAAGGCTTTTGACTGTTAACCAGAAGGTTGGTGGTTCAAACCCACCAGCCATTTCACAGCAGAAAGACTGGACAATCTACTTCCATAAAGATTTACCACCTCAGAAACCTAATGGGGGTCACTATGAGTCGGAATCAACTCAGTGGGTTTGATTTTGGTTTTGGTTTTTTAATGATATCTACATCATAATCCAAAGAACCTGTGAATATGTTACATTATATGGCAAAAGGGAATTCCACTGCAGGTGGAATTAAGGTTGCCAAACAACTGACTTTAAAATGGAGAGATTATTTTACTGAGGAAGCCCAGTGTAATAACAATTTTTTTAATGCATTTTATTGAAATACAATTTATGTACAGTGAAATAGACAGAACTAAAGTGGCATGGGCCAATGTTTTTTTTTTTTTTTTTTTTTGCAGTGTCCCCTTCCTTTCCTTCCCACCTCAGCAACCAACTAAGAAAGTTTTCCTCCATATATAAACCTTTCCTTGACCCTCCACAACAACAAATTAATACTATATTTGTCCTGCTGTGATTGACTTATTTCACTCAGCATAATGTCCTCCAAGTTCATCCATGTTATATGGTGTTCTGCGACTCTACATTATTCTTTAGTGCTGCATAGCATTCCAGTATATGTATGTACCATAGTTTGGTCATCCACTCTTCTATTGATGGGCATGTAGGTTGTTTCCATCTTTTTGCTTTTGTAAATAGTGCTGCAATGAACATGGGTGTGCATGTATCTGTTCCTCTCCTGGCTTTTACCGCTCTAGGATATATACCTAGTAATGGGATTTTGGGGTCAACTGGTATCTCCCATTCCAGCTTTCTAAGGAATCGCCATACTGCTTTCCACAGCGGTTGTATCACTTCACAGTCCCACCAGCAGTGTATGAGAGTCCCAAAATCTTCACATCCCC